ATTTCTTCGCCACCCAGAAAAAATTTCAGTTGCCCCCTTTCTAAGGAAAAAAAAATTCATTTGCCTCCTTGAAAGTTTCACTTACCTCCCTAAAAATTTGTTTAACTCAAATCTAACTGATATGTTATAATTTTAAAAATTATAATATAGTTTGAGAGTGAATGTATAATAATTTAAAAAATAATTTTTTTGTTTAAATAAAAATTTATGACAAAAAATCCTCAACTACACAAATATGGTCAAATTTTATTTATATTAGACAAATTTATTTAATACACCATTATAATTTTATGCTTCATGCCTTATTCTCTAATAATTATTTAATTTTTTCTATAATTTAATTTAATAAATATTTAAAATTATGCTTTTTAAAAAAATCAATATTTATGTTAAGTCAAATTTTTGCCCCCGCTTCTTAATGTTTTTGGGTCTGTCACTGTACGTGAGGCATGAGATTACAAGTTTTTTCAAGTGTTCCCACTTCATACATTCAGATTGCTAAGGGGAACAAAATCCATTTTAAATAATTAGATAGATTTAATTTTCAAATACACTTATATGGCATGACAACTTGTTATCTCCTCCATATACTATGCTTGGTATATTAATTCACCAGGCTAAATATAAACTAGTTTAAGCCATAGGCGCCAACAATTATTAGGCTCAATGGGAGCATATAATGTGGTAAGATTTATCCAACACGAGTCCCAACCATACACCAACATGTCATGTAATTAAGAACAATTTCAATATATGTAAATACAATAATGCATAACACATTAAAAATTGTGCTTTCCAATACACTTTTTAATAATCTAAACACTTTCTTATAAATAGTTAATATCCCACTTGCAACGTATTTTCTCAACAAAATGAAGTTTAATTTAATACATGAGTTCTCAACACATATATTTCATAATTCAAAATACACATAATTAATCACATAACACATAATATAATATTAAAAAATGGTTTCTCAAACACAAAAGTGATCACCTACAGTGCCCACAGCACATTCTATGCTACACAATTATGCTAATTAACAATAAAATATATTAATCATAGCTAATTGTTGTTCCTAACACTAATACCATATTAATCCTAAAGTTAGATTAGTTCATCTCATTAACCTTAGCAAATCCCATACAAATGACTAAGTGAATAACTCTTACATTAAGCAACAGATCAATGATCTAACTAGTGAAAATAATGAGTAGGATGTGATGAATCTGCTGATTGAATTTTAGCTCAATCCAATGATTAATGAATTTGTAAACACCAATTTATCAAGATTGTCCTATAAAGATGTGAAAATAGTTAAGAATAACAAAGTAAATAACTCTCACATCAAGAAATGAATCAACAATGGAACTATTTGAAAATGACAAGTTGGGTGTTATGAACTTGCTGACCAAATTTCAACCTTATCCAACTATTAACGTATTTGCAAATGCCAATTTACCCACATTGTCTTATGAAGATGTGAAAATAGCTATGAAATGAATCAAGGATCCAACTATTAAAAATTATTATTTCACAAGTACAAAATATGAAATTTACAAGTTATTTTTTATATTAGTTGGAAGGCAAATGGTATAAAAAGTTAAGGCAGTGACATTTTTACAATTATAATAAAATATTCTATAGTTTTTACATCAGGTGTCACCCGATGTAAAAAATCTATTTTCTACATCAAGCAAGGCCACCCGATGTAGAAAATACACTTTCTACGTAGGGTGGAACTCACTCGATGTAGAAAGTGTATTTTCTACATCGAGTGAAGGTTCACCTGATGTAGAATATACAACGGGTGACCCTTCACCTAGTGTAAAAAATTTTTTAAATTACTTACTCGTTTTGCTCTTGCACAAACTTACATTGTTTCCTTCCCTTTCATTTTCCCTTTGCTCCACTTCGACTCCCCTCCCTTTCTCTCATTTCCTCCCCCTCCCTCTCAGTGCTCCCTCTCCCTCTCACTGACTAGCCCCCCTCCCCTTCACCTCTCTCTCTCGGCACCCCCTTCCCCCTCCTTCCTCCCTCTCAAGCTTCCAACTGATGTAAAAAGTCATTATTTTACATCAGTTGGAAGCCCAACCCATGTAAAAAGTTTTAGGTAAATTTTTTTATATAATTTTTAATATTGGTTTTATAATTGATTTAAAAATTTTAGTTTTTATATTGGGTGTATAACTAATGTAAAAAGATGGGACATTCTACATTTTTTGGAACAACATTGTCCTTTTAACCGCTGTAAAAAGTCATTTTTGTACTAGTATTTGGATGTTATAAATTTTATGATCAAATTTTAGCCCGATTTAATGGTTAACAAATTCAAAAACACTAATTTACCAAGACTATCTTATGAAGATATGAAAATAGTTTTCTCTTCTCTTTTTTGTTTCTTTCTTGCTGTAGTTCAATCCTAAATATAACCTCTCTCTCATAATCTAATTTGATCTCTCTCCATTTACTTTGTATGACTGACAATGTGTTTTAACATTGGGCCTTTCTCCATGTAGGAATGGAGTCTAAACTCATTAACCTCAATTTTTCTCAAAACATAATTGAATTTTTAATTAGACCTCATAATTTTCTTAATTAAATTATTAAATAAAACTATGAAATTACATTATGGATATCTTATAAATTATATTTGTATAATTATAATTAATAACACAATTATACATAGGGAAAAGAAGAGGACCTGTAATGGGTGGCAGAGGGACAAACTTTATTTAAGATTTGGGGGGTGGGGGAATTGGGATGAGGGTGAGGGAGGTCCCAAAAGTTAGAAAAATTAAATATTTAATGTAAAAAAATATTTTTCCAATAAGAAAATGAAAATTGTTTCTATCCTGTTTTTAAAAATAGTTTTTTTCTTTTTCAAAAAAATATTTTTTTTCATATACCAAACATGCACTAAACCTCTCTTAAGTCTATGTTTTTATGTTATAAGAAAAAATATAAAATAAAGAAAATGAGAAAAGAGAAAATGAAAAGATAAATGTGAAATGATATAATTTTCTCTCTCTATACTTGGTTTAACAAAAGAAAAGAAGGAGGATAATTTCATACATATAATGATAACCTTATTAATTGTAGAAAAATATCTATATGTAATAAAGCTTAATATTTTAACATATTATTTACATAGTTTCTTTTTATATTACTAATCTAATAAAAAATAATTGCAAATAATTTTATCTAGTACTAGAAAAAAAATATCTTATCCAATTTTAAATTTTATTTCTTAAATTATTAAATATCTAATAAGATCAAAATTTTAACAACTAAATATAAGGCATTTAAGCAAAAATGAACGTAAAAATTTAAAATTAATATTTGTCTAATTTTTAATTAGCAAAAGCCAAGCAACAAAAATATTTGTTTGTAAACAAAAATATTTGTCGATACATTTTTACAGAGAAAAGTTGGAGGGACAAATATGTAGACCCAACATGTTATTTTCCTCCCAATTTTTTTCGCTCACATTCTCCTCTCATTAAGCAAACAAGGAAAAATATAGTTTTTCCTTCACTTTTCTCTTCTGCGTTTCTTTTCCTTGTACTTTTCTCTCATAACAAACATATTATTTGAGTGAAATGATTATACTTATAGCATTTAATTAATAACTATTATTTCAATCTCTTTTATATAAATCTTTTTTTGCCAGTCTTTTATATAAAGCTTACTTCCAAAAGTAAAACATCTAAATTATAAGGTATCTAGTTAAAATAATCTAATATTTTAATAACTTTTTGTGTTAAGGTTCATTTTTGCTCTTGAACTATTTTCAGAAAAGCATCAAGTATTCTAAAATATTTTTTAACAATATTACCCCCTTAAAGTAATTAAAATTTGGCAATGTATTGCTCTTAAGTCTTAACATTAAATTGTAGGAAACGTAAAACTTGTGTGGTGTGAACATTGTTAGCAACATTCGGGATCATCAATTGAGATGTTAATTAAGCCAGCTCGTGAATTTCAGGGCAAGAAATTATCATCGTTTTCTAATCTTTCAGACTAATTAATGAAAACAAGTCTGTTTCAGTTATGAAATGAAGCACTTGAGTGGGCTTCACTAAACTTCATAGCTTAGTTAAGCAGAGAACTTGAAAAGTTATATACAACGAGACAAATGTTCACGTGAAACATGAGATTACAATTATTTTCAGTGTTCCCACTTTACATGCATCTACTTAATGGCTATAAACAGTGAGGATTCATGAAGTTGCGGATCAGAAATATAGCAAGAGCAAAAGCATCAAGTATGAGAGTTAAGGTAACAGTTTCGTGCTGTGTGTGTTATTGGTGGCCACCGCCACCACTCTCACGGCGGCGGACGGTGGCACTCCAAATGCACTAAATAGATACCATTTCCCCCATGGCTTTGTCTTCGGTGCTGGTTCTGCTGCGTATCAGGTATATATACATCCATTCATTTCTACTAATACTAATCTATACAACATAATATTCACCATTTTGAATATGCAAAATCCCTTTCTTTTCTTCCAACATAGTATAGTTTTTTTTTTTTTTAATGTTTAAAACAATATGGTTGTTCCACGACACAGATAGAAGGAGCGGCAAATATTGATGGAAGAGGACCAAGCATTTGGGACACCTTCACTAAGCAGCATCCAGGTTTCTCTCTCCCCCTATGTGTGTGTATCGTGTGTGTCATCTTAATGGGGGAAACGAGATACGTACATGCATGTATACATGCATGGAGGTTTAAATCTATGAACTATGCATGATTAAACATCAATATATCTATCTGGAGTGTCACACGTTTCATGACACGGCTGTAAAAATACCAACTTAATTATTTTATTTTTAAGTTACATAATGTAAACAAATTTTAACATTAATGTGAAGTGGATCCCATTTGTATGTGATCAAAAGCTAAAATAATAAGAAGTCCAACAGCAGATCTTATCTTAAACTATACTAATCATACAAATATATACTAGTTTTTTCTGTGTATAATTATTAATGAGCAGAAAAGATACTGGATCACAGCAACGGCGACGTGGCCGTCGATTTCTATCATCGCTACAAGGTGCTCATCAACTTTCAATTCGTCCACATCTATTTCATCAATATTCCCCATATGTATATGTGTGTATATAAACTGTGCGCGCAAATGCCTTTTTTTTTTTTAATATTGTAGAGTGACATACAACTGATGAAAAAAATTGGGCTGGACTCCTTTAGATTCTCCATCTCTTGGTCTAGAATTTTCCCTGGTAAGATTTTTTTTTTCTTTTTAATTAAACTAAGGTAAGATAATTTTGAAAAAAATCAATAAAGGGCCTTTACATATAATGAATTAATTCTCGATTCTCATTATAAGACACCAGACAAAGTATTTAGTACCCAATTGTTTACATTTGGTTATTATTTGTTTGTATTTGTGCAGAGGGTGGAGTTAAGGTGAATCGGTTGGGTGTCGAATTCTACAACAATGTCATCAATGAGCTCCTTGCTAATGGTCAGGCTCTGGCTTGGGTCTCTCTATCCATTCACTTAATTAGTTCATTTTTGTGATAATAATAGCATAAACTTCTCTAAAATCAATAGCAATCCTTTCATATTTTCTCACTCCTTGTTGCGCGTGTATAGGCATAATACCTTTTGTCACTCTCTTTCATTGGGATGTTCCTCAAGCTCTTACAAACAAGTATGGAGGATTTCTCGACAAGAAAGTAGTGTAAGTGTTACATTACATTATTTGCACTAATTGTATTGGATTAGTATGCGTCAAAGATCTAGCATACCGGGGCTTATTATGGAAAAAAGCATTTGTTAGTTTTCTAATTGATTAATGATTTTAGGGATGATTTTCGGCGCCATGCTAACTTCTGCTTCAAGACGTTTGGAGATAGGGTTAAGAATTGGGCTACTCTGAATGAACCCCACATGTTTTCTTTTGGTGGCTACGATAGTGGCACCTTTGCACCAGGCAGGTGCTCTAACTACGTCGGAAACTGCACTGCTGGCAACTCCTCCACCGAGCCCTACACGGTCGCCCACAATCTCCTTCTTGCTCATGCAGCTGCTGTTGGCCTCTACAGAACCAGATATCAGGTTCTATTGCATATATTATATCACATTTTTTTACCTTACCATGCATGTTATATATAGTTTTTTCTCGAACAAAATCTGAAATTTTCCGTCATTACAATTATTCTAGGTTAGCCAAAGAGGGCAAATAGGAATTACATTAGATTCATGTCGGATGATTCCAAAGTACGAAACTCCAGCAAATCGTGAGGCTGCAAATCGAGCTCTGGATTTTTACTTTGGATGGTAAGTGAGAAAAACATGAGTTTGGCTTTTTTTTTTTTTTCCCTTCACTGTACTTTCTCTCCACTTCTTTTTTTGAGATTTTGAATTGTTCATATTAAATTTAAAATATTAAATTCAAACCAGTCGAAGTGAAATTAAAGATAATTCTTTTTTGCAGGTTTGCTCATCCTGTCACCTATGGAGATTATCCAGAGAGCATGAGATCTATAGTTGGAGATAGATTGCCAAAATTCAAAAAAGCAGAATCAAAAATGTTGAAAGGGTCTTATGATTTTCTTGGTGTCAATTATTATACCGCTAATTATGTGGAAAACAATCCCTCTACGAGCACTGCTAATAAAAGTTACACTTCTGATATCCATGTCACTTTCTCGAGTAAGTAGTTAAATTAAAATGATGGTATAAAGCAAGTGTGTGTGTGTGTGTGTATCAAAACTTAATGAATACTAATAATAAATAAACTCACTTTATTTTTTTCTGATTAATCTCAGCCTCAAGAGATGGTGTCTACGTCGGTGCTCCGGTATATGCTCTGTTTCTTGATATGTGTGTGTGTGTGTGGGGGGGGATCTTGGATCCTCGGATCCAACTAGAAAATTTTTGGGGATCATCGGCTTGTTTGGTTTTGTTCTAATTTTGTTAAAAAAATTTTAAATATTTTTTTTAAAAATAAAACAAAATGAAAATTCTTTTGATTATATATGTTAATTTGAAAGCATTTTTGGAGTTGAAAAAACAGCCAATGGTGGTAGTCGCCAGAGGTAAATTAATGATGATGGTCAATGATAGTTGTTAACCGTAATTGAAGATAATTTATATTTATTAAATTTAGAGTGTTTCAAAAAAATTATTTAAAAAAAATAAAACAGCTCTATTTATATTGTTTCCATTAAAAAAAATAAAAAAGGAGAACAATTTTTAAAACATTTAAATTCAAAACAGTTACTCAAATAATTTTTTTTATTTTCCTGTTTTTAATAATAAAAATTTTTTAAAAAAAAAACAGAAACCAAACGAGCCCATATATGTCCTTTTTTTGTCCATTTATGGAGATTTGTTGCTTTTGTAGACTGCTTTGAAGTGGCTCTACGTCTACCCAGAGGGACTCCGTGAGCTTTTGGTATATGTAAAGAACGAATACCAGAACCCAACAATTTACATCACTGAAAATGGTACCTATCTACATATCATACGCTTTCATGAGAAGACTTGGCTTCACAAGCAACATATATCTAAGAAGCATATTACATATTTTATACTTGTTAAGCTTTCTGCATTGTACTTTTTGACGAGTTGACTTTATAAACATTTACTCAAAACTCAAATTATTTTTGTCCAATTTTAATTATATATGTTGATGTGTTTGAGGAAAATTGTAGGAGTTGCGGAAGCAAATGATGCGTCAATACCAGTTCATGGAGCCACTAAGGATGGTGTCAGGATAATATACATTTATAGCCATCTCAGATGTCTTCTTCAAGCTATCTGGTGCGTCATATATATTATTAAATTATTATATATATATATATATATATATATATCCTACATTAACCATTTTCATGATCTGTGAATTGATATAATTCATTGGATGACACGGGAAGGAAGGATTGAAAACTTGTTACTTAAACTTAGTAAAAGAGATAATAGCATGATTAGAAATGAGTGACGAATGTTTCATTAATTTTTGTAAAAAGTCTTGCATTGAGGTCTTATATATAAATAAGATCGAAAGGAGTAACTTATTCAAACTGTGTTGATTATATATGTAGGGGCGATGGGGTGAATGTGAAGGGGTATTACATGTGGGCATTTATGGACGACTTTGAATGGAATTCAGGCTACACACCTCGATTTGGACTCACCTTCGTGGATTACAAAGACAACCTTAAAAGATATCTCAAGTTTTCTGCTCATTGGTTTAAGAGGTTCCTCAATCCTTGGCTGCTTACTCTGCCAAGTGATTCTAAATCCTCTGATTAGGATTGAAAGAAAATGAGAAGGAAAGAAAATTAAGGGAGAAAAGTAGAAGAAAATATCATTTTTCTTTCAAAACATAACGTTTTTTCTTTAGTTTTCTCTCTTTGTAGAGGAAATTAGGGGAAAACAATTATGGATAATGATTTTTTTTTCCCTAGTTTTCTCCCATATAACTTTTTTTCCTTTTCATTCCAAACAAAGCTGAAGTTGTTATGTTTGAAGCTTCCCTTTGAGCTTCATATGTTATGATATAAACTATCGTGTACTGTTCTTAATATTAAATAAATGAAGTCTCAGTTCCGTTATTGAGGCTTCCCTTTAAGTTTTACGTGTTATAAGATAAACTATTGTGTACTGTTCTTAATATTAAATAAATGAAGTCCATTGAGGCTTTCCTTTGAGTTTCACATGTTATAAGATAAACTATTGTTTACTCTTTTTAATATTAAATAAATGAAATATCAGTTTTGTTGTTGAGACTTCCTTTGAATTTCACATGTTATGAGATAGACTACTATGTATTTTTTTTATAATATATTGTGTACTCTTCTTAATGTTAAATAAATGAACTCTCAATTTCGTTATAAATATATATATATATATATATGGAGAAAGGCAAACCCATCAACACTGGTGAATGGTTTTTATTGCATACACACAGGGCTGTGTGAAGGAGTTTTAGGATCTAAGACGAAATTATCTAAGAAGCCTAATGCATTGTTATTTATATATTTTCATATCACTTTTCTAGTTTTTTGAATTACAAAATCAATTATTAAATTTTTATAATTAAGTAATTCTAACATTTTACTTTTAATATATAAATATAACTATTCCATTTAATCTATTTTATAATATGATTGATCTTTAATAAGATTTAAGTAATTTTAATTTTAAAAAACTTCTTTAACAATAGCAACTGTTACAAGCATTGTCAATAGTATTCTATAAGTAATAAGAAAATGACTAATTATAATATATATAATTAATATTAATGTTTAATGAGAAAAGTAATAACTCATTATATTGGGTATAAGTAGACCTTTTTTTGAAGCCTGGTTGCCTTATTAGCCTAACATGAGCCATGGCCTTGCACACACATGAATTTACAATATCAAAAGCTTTATGCTTTTATATAAAATTTTTATTGATAAATTGATTACTGTATTCTTTGGATCTTGATTCTTTCTCAAATCTTTTTTTTTTTGGGTAAAAGATTCTTTCTTAATCTTTATCTTTTAATTTGACTAATTAGAACATGCAGTAATGCCACATGTTTTATTTTGCCTTTCGGTCTGGGCTGGTTGAGTAGGTCTCGTAACGGGTTGGGTTTTGAGTGCTTTTGACCCAAATTATGAATCCTCAATTATTATCCATTATTTTAATATAATGTTAAGTTAAAAAATTAATATAAAATTTTAAATAAAAAATTAAAAGGATTAAATATCAAAATGACATCTGATGCTCACAAGGCTAATTAATTACACAAGGCATATAAATAAAAGCAACTTAATTGAGTCATTCCTAAGTTATATGCTTTATAATTTATATGCATTCTGTAACAAAATATGAGAATTCACATGTGTCCATATAAATGGTATGACAAGCATTAAATTCACTAAGAATATATTTAAAATATATACTCAAATTTAAAAATAAATATAAGAATTAATTAGAAAATCCATAACCACAACAAGATATTTTATGATAGGATCTCTGGGCATCCCATATTGTGCAAGTGTGGATGAAAATTAACTCATTTGTCTGCGCACCTAAATATCTTTGGACATTATTTTTGTCCTAGGATTTTTGTTTTTAAAAACTTTAAATAATTTGTATCATCATAAAAAATTTTGCAATTTCAGGATTGTTTAGTATGGAAAATAAAAAATGATCCTTAAAAGACCATTTTTTTAATTGTATTGTTCTGTTTTAAGGAATGTAAAAACAATAATTCTAAATTCATGGTCATGTTGTTGAAAAAAACTCCACTCTTCCTCTCCCATATTCTCAATTAAAAGAGAAATTATAAGACAAAACATCATTTTGAATCTGTCTCAACTACATGAATTTCAACAAAAATTTGAGGTTGCTTTAAAAAAAAAAGAAAAAAGAAATCTTCTAACGTCTTTTCAAGTTATAAAATGGTAATTCATTTGGCCCAGAACAAGATAATGATAACAACTATTATTAAGTTTCCTAGTATGTAGATAGAATTTAACCCATTTATTTGTCTATTTACATATCTTTGACCGTCATTTTTATCAAAGGATATTTTTTAAAAATTTTAATAAATATTTTTTATCATTATTCATAAATTTTGCAAATTTAGAATTTTTTTTCGTGTCGAAAATTAAAATTGACCCTTGAATGACTTTTTTTATATTAAACACATGTTTTTTCTTTTATTATAAAACATTACCTATTGTATGAGGTCTAGAATAAATCATATTATTTATAATTTGTAGTGTAATTTTCAATAAAGTAATTATTTATATTAATTAACATATGTGCAAGAACATAATAAAAAGGACATTTCATAAATAAACAGATCTATAGTGACATGATGTTTGGCCATTATTTTTACCAAAGAATATTTTTTAAAAACTTTTAATAATTTTTTATCATTATTCTTAAATTTAGCAAATGCAGAATTTTTTTTAGTATGGAAAATTAAAATTGAACCATAAATGACTTTTTTTGTTGTATTAAACACGATTTTTCTTTGATCCCATTTGTTTTTATTTTTGAAAAATTAAGTTTAACATTGTGATATTATGTATTGCTTATCTAAAGCACAAATTATAAATTTAAGTTTTAAGGAATATAAAAAAATATAAAGATATGACAATGTTATAGAAAGGACTCCACTCTTTCTCTCCCATATCATGAATTAAAAGAGGAGGTATTTAACAAGACATCATTGTGAATCTATTTCGGCTTAATTATCTTCAACATATTTTTGAGGTTCCTTTTTCGCCTTCAATATTTTATTTTTTCAAAGCTTCCAACCTCTTTTCAAGTTATTAATTGGTAATTCTTGCCCCAGAGGCCAGGACAATTTTTTTTTTTTTAATGATAACCCTTATCTTAATGTTCCCTACAGTGCGAGTAGAATTTAACCCATTTGCTTGTACGTCTGCATATCTTTGGCCATTGTTTTTATCAATGAATATTTATTTTTTAAACTTTTAATAAACATTGTTTTTATCTTTATTCTTAAATTTAGCAAATTTAGATTTTTTTTGGTACGGAAAATTAAAATTGATCCGTAAATGACTCTTTCTTATTAGACACGTTTTTTCTTTGATATAAAATAGTTGTTTATACCTATTGTATGAAGTCTAAAATAAATCATGTTATTTATAATTTGTAATACAATTTCCTAGAAATCATGCATTTACATTAATTCATGAGAAATACTTAGGTATACCAAGCATACCACGTCATGTGTTATCTATTCAATAAAAATATAACATTTAAATGGCATTAAATATAAATTGATTTTAATATTAATAATAGTAAAGAGAGAAAAAGTAAGAAACTAAATATACATTCTATTATAAAAATAAAATTAATTTAAAAAATGTCACATAAAATTTTATTTAAATTATTTGGAGCATTTTGATTGAACAGATCATAAATGACATGATATACCTGTTCTACTTGAGTATTTTTCTTAATTCATATATGCGTGAGAATATAATAAAACAAGGACATTTCATAAGTAGACAAATCTATAGTGATGTAATTAACTTTATGTTATATTTTTTTAACACAGTTAAATTTTTTTATGACCATTTATACTTTAATGTCAAATTAAATCCTTTTACCTTAAGATTCACTATTTATTCAAGCCGGTTCTTGTTAGTCAAGCTTAATGTTCGGCCGAAAGTCCATTTTTTAATTTTTTGAAAAATTAAGTTTAACATTGTGATATTATATATTCATTATCTAAAATACAAATTATAATATTCAATTTTAAATAACATAAGCAAAAAAAATTATAAAGATATGGCCCTATCATAGAAAAGTACTCAGCCATTTCTCTCCCATATCCTCAATAAATCAAAAGAGAAAGCATTTGAAAAAACATCATTTTAAATTCCTTCCGACTTCATTATCTTCAACATATTTTCTCAGTGACTTTTTTTCCTTCAATATTTTTTGTAAAGCTTCTAACATTTCAAATTATTAATTGATAATTCTTGGCGCTGAGGCTAGGGCAAGATTTTTTCATGATAACCGCTATCCTTATCTTACCTAATGTGTAAATAGAATTTGACCCATTTGTCTGCCCATCTGCATATATTTGGCCATTATTTTTATCAAAGAATATTTGTTTTTTAAACTTTTAATAAATATTGCGTTTATCTTCATTCTTAGATTTAGCAAATTCAGATTTTTTTTACCATGGAAAATTAAAATAGGTTCTTACATGACTATTTTTTATATTGAACACTTTCTTCTATGTAAAATACTCTCTCTGTTAAAAAATACAAGACATTTTTAATTGAATCTCACCCCTTAATAAAGTAGTTATCTACTTTCAAACTAACCTTATCTTTTCATATTTATTTCTATTAAACACCCTATAATAAATATAAAATCATTGTCAACAGGGACACTTTTGAAAAAAAGATAATGATTGCATCTCAAAAAATAAAAAAAGTCTTACATTTTTTAACATTCAATTTCTTAAAAAATGCCTTACATTTTTTAATGAGGGAGTAGTTGTTTTTACATATTGTAAGAAGTTTAAAATAAATCATGTTATTTTTAATTTTTGTACAATTTCCTAGAAATTATTCATTTATACCAATTCACATATGCCCAGGAATATAATAAAACAGGGACAATTCATAAATAAAACTATAGCTACATGATGTAATTTATTTCATTTATATATTTATTTTTATCACAGTTAATTTTTTTTATATGCGCATTTATAGTTTTATGTAAAATTTAAAGCCCTTTTGCCTTAAAATTTACCATTTATTTAG